CTAGGGTTAGGATTGATACACATTCCATCTCTATACCTCTCCCTCTTTTTACTTTTGTGTGTGTCTAGGTGTATTTGTGTCTTACTATTGCACAAAAACACATAGTGTTACACCTTCTCTTGGCTACTGAGGTTCTAAGAAGTTGTTCTTGAAGTTCTTGGGTGGTTTTGAGCTTGAAGAACCAGCTGGTCCACCATTTTTGAAGAAAGTCTTCAAGGGTAAGAAACTAGTCCTTTTATTCTCCATTTTTGCATTGTTTTTTTTTCCTATCTTAGAACTATTTTTGTGCTTGGTGTATAGCATAAAAAAGTTCTATTTTTGGGCCCTCTAAATAGTTTGTTTAGAGTGTTTTGTGGTTTGGAGGTGTTTGACCCCTCTTAGGCCTTGAGAGGCCCCATTTTGTGCTATTTTGAGTGAGCTCCGGGACCTTGGTGTTTGGGCCTCCTCACCACTGAAATCTTGAGGGATTTTAGAGGTGAGGATGGTGCCTTGAGGTCCTAGGGAGGAGAGGGCCCCCCCTCTCCTTGTTGTCCTTGAAAAGGACCATTTTTGGCCTCTTGAGGGAGCACCTAGCTAAGCTTCATGTTGACCATGCCTTAGTTGTTTTTTGTGCTTATTATGTCATAATATGCCTCTGTTTTTTGTTGGTTTTGGTACACCATGCATGCTTAGCATACCTACCTTGTAATGCCATGCTTAGGCCTCAATATGCCTTCGGTTGTAAACCATTGTCCTGGCATGTTTTAGGTCTAGCTTTGTGAAGCTTTTGTGCTTATTTTGCCATGCTTGAGGTCTGTCCATAGTTGTTTGGGTTGGCCATGGCATGCTTTGTATAGCCCCTTTGCATTTTTGGCTTGTTGGCCTTAAGTGTGTGAATGTGTAGCATGCATCCTTTCCCTAACTTAGTGATTTGGGACCATTTGCCATGTTATTTCAGTCCCTTTAACATGCTTGTATGCTTGCCTTGGATGCCTCTTTAATGCTTTGAAAGCTTGTGTAGCATGCTCCATGTTTTGGCATATGTGCATACCTTTGAGTTGAAGACATTTGGATGCCATCTAAGTGATCTTTAGGCTTTGTCTTAATATGCTAAAATTCTGTTTTTAGTCATTTAATTCATGCCATGTGTGGTTGCACTAAGTGTAGTTCAATGCTTCCTTGGTGGGCCTTAGGAATTGGACCATATTTGCATATATGTGTGCACGTGTTTTGGGCCTCTTTTCCTTGGCTTTGGCCACTATTTTGGGCCTACCATGGGGCTGTCCAAATTAGTGTAAGACCATCCTCTTATGTCATTGCATGCATGCCTTGCATACCATCACATATCCGCTCCATTTCACCTTATGGTTGCATGCCATGCGTAATTGCATTTTGTTGAAGTGCTTGAGTTGCATGATATGTTCTTGTATGCTTAGGTTGTAATACATTTGGCATGTATTCTCTCCTCTAGCCACTTGACATGTTGTTGCATGTTTGTGTATTGCCCATGTTCATGCTTGCATGCTAGTTCGCATGATTAGAGTTGCATTGCCAATTCAGTTTCAGATTCCAGTCAGTCAGTCCAGTATTTCAATCAGCTCAATTACCAATCATAATCAGTCTCAGTTTAGCAGTAATCAATAGTTTATCGATAAACAGTGGTGAGGGTTGTTACAAAAATAGTATAGTAGGTCTTATAGACCGAATAGTCGGTTGATGGCCATATCAATAAATAGTAGTGGTTCCAACATGGGAACCGACAGAGATCTCTGTGACAGTAGCAGTACAGTACAGTAACAGTAGGTTGCTATGGATGCCACGAATACAGTTCACAAATAAGACATTATTCATTTAGTAACAGTATCATTTCAGAAAACAGTACAGTTCAGTTGTTCAGAAGATAATCATTATTGAATATATCTTTACAACATTGTTACTCACAGAGTTCTGGGTTACAGATAAGCTAGAGCGTCTCCGGAATGCCAACCCTACACAGTTACAGATTGAACACACACTAAGCTACGCAGTTGGGAAAAATAATAACTTAATCTCTAATTTGCCTCGGTGTGGTTCTATATCAATATCCTCATTAAGATGCCTTAAGCTAGGCCTAGGAATGCCTAGAATGAAATGAGGATGCAAAGATGTGTTTTAAAAATATTTTCAGAATTTTCAGAAAACAGAGGTCCCGCTTGAGCGTAACTATCTCCGCTCGAGCGGACCTGCAACAAAAGGGTTCCGCTCGAGCGTATACTTCACCGCTCAAGCGGACTGTAAAACAGTCAAAAGTGCTGGATGTGTGAAAATCACGCTCGATAGGCGCTCTACACCCGCTCGAGCGTGAGACACAAGATCCCGCTCGAGCGTCCAATACCCCGCTCGAGCGAACTGCAAACACAACTAAAGTGCTGGATGCATGAATTTCACGCTCGAGCGCCAGTCACCCCGCTCAAGCGTGAGTCCAAAATCTGAAATTTCCAGATTTGAACCTCAAGCTCAAAATGAATTTTAAATGTATCAAATTCGATCATTTCGGGCTAATTTTCTGGAAAACACTTCAAAACTCATAGCATTACATGTTTCAAAGATCCATTTGAGAAATCGAAGCCCAAAGGTAGATCAATTAAACCCAATTTCAAATCAAATTTCATGGACATGACGTCAATGCAACATGCATGAGTTAAATCAACTTTAAAACTTCAAATACATGCTCAAGTGAGTCAATTTCTCCAAAGACAAGATGAATTCTTGGATTTTAACACAAACATGAACATGCATGCAAGATTCCCATGAAATCCAACCTCCAAACTCAACAATGTAAACATGCATGCATGATTTGAGCTACAATACAACATACTAGAGCCAATTCTACACTTAGCTCTCAAAACTACCATGATCCATGCTAGATACAACTTAGATACACAATTAAGAGAGTGATTTCTCTACCTTATGTCTTCAATTCTAGGTGTAGGAGTCCAAACATGCAATCAACCTTCAATTTTCTCAAATCACCAAGCTAAAATTGTTGAACTCAAGTTTCCTCACTCTCTTTATCTCTAGTCAGCTAAGGACTCAAGGAATGGCTGAGGAAATGATGCTAAACAATGTATAATTCAAGTCTCAACATATGGTATGAAGTGGGCCACTAAGTGGCAAAGTTGTAAATAATGCAACTTGTGTAATTTAACTTATTTTAATCTAATTTAATCATACTAAATCACATTTTAAATAAATATACCATTAAATCACATAATTTCTAATGATCATAAAAACATTAATCAATTTCTAATTCGGCCACCGATAAGGCCTTCTATTCGCAGTTTAAACACAGAACATGAACAGATAATTTACCAGTCAAACAGAGAGAAATGCAATTAAACTCATATACTCAATCAATCAGTTCAGACTTTTAGTCAATCAGTCAATTAACATGTTTAGTCTCAGTTTAGCGGTAAATAGTGGTGCGGGTTGTCACAGAAATTTCAAAAAAATCTGGCTCACAAGTCACAACAATGCAAATTACTAAATAATAAAGTGACCTAAACTCATATATTTGTGATGAAGAAGATTAAAATTTCTCAACCTTACCTGGAAATTAATTTGTTCAGTGAAGCAAAATTTAAAAATACTCTCATCCTAGCTAGCTAGAACCACAACAAAATAGTTATACTAAGAAGCCTCATAATAATCACTTTTCACATACCAATTTGAGACTGCACTGAACTTCCTCAGGAGCCTCGAAAAAGGTTTCTACTTTCAAACCCTCTTGAAATTAAGGCAGTTAAGCTTCGGAGTTACAAAATCGGAAGTTGGTCCGATTCAATTCAAAATAAAAGAAGAGAAAAGGCCACGAACAAAGTTCAATGAAAGACAATACAGGAATTTAGTGAACCTTCTCATTTCCAAGAAAAGAAAATAAAAAACCAAATCATCATATACCCAATTCTCAGGACAGTCATCGGCTTACCTGATGGAAATGGCTTTCTTCGTGTTAACGAGTTCCATATCACATGATGTTTGACATTTCTGCTTCTTATTGGAGTTGATTTTGATGCCATAAAAAACTATTTGAGCACAAATGATCAGTTTCATTGTGGGCTATATATCAATATGACAATAAGATATGAAACTTTGCAAAACAAACTATACGAAGCTTTATGAGTTCCAAGAATAGAAGAGATGTTCGGTGAAGACAGACCTAGATGGCAATGAAAAAGGTTTTTAGGTTTTGCTCTTACTTGTACGGCGAACTTCACCACCTTGTCTTGTGCTTATCATACTAATGCTTAAAGGGGCAGTACTCTGACTTGACAGCTGGACATCAGAAAGTGATGCAGAACCAGTTTGTAAAAAGATCAAACCAACTGAACTACTTGAAGTGTTTCCAGAAGAAGGCATTCTACTTGAATGGGGGTTAGACCCTGAAATAAAAACGATGGAGCCATAGTAGCAAGAGAAGGCCCAACCATGTAGAGAGCAACCGACATGTCTGTAAGAGATGAAGCTGATGGACTATATCTTACTGTTCCCATTGGATGATCAAATTTGCAAAGAGAGGGAAGGGAAAAAGGGACTGCTAGGTCAGGATAATCTGGTCCAATGGGAGTATAAAATTAAGGTATATATATAAAATCCTACTACCCAACTTTTTGGTACATAAAAATAATTGAGTACACACCATGTCGGCCCTTGACATGATACGAAATCGAATAAGAATTTTACACCTCAGCAGGTATGATTTAGGGTATGATTCGAAGTGTGTCTATAGGCTTATTCTATATTTTCCTCGGCTTCTATTCCGTTTCTACTATCCTACCTACCAAACATAGCATACAAGACTTGCTTGGAGAGCAGCAGTTGCCAAAAATGCCATTTCCAAATGTTTCATCTGATCATCACTATTCAATCCTCTACCTAACAAACTTCAAAAAAATCTGGCTCACAAGTCACAACAATGCAAATTACTAAATAAATAAAGTGACCTAAACTCAGATATTTGTGATGAAGAAGATCAAAATTTCTCAACCCTGCCTGGAAATTAATTTGTTCAATGAAGCAAAATTTAAAAATACTCTCATCCTAGCTAGCTAGAACCACAACAAAATAGTTATACTAAGAAGCCTCATGATAATCACTTTTCACATACCAATTTGAGACTGCACTGAACTTCCTTAGGAGCCTTGAAAAAGGTTTCTACTTTCAAACCCTCTTGAAATTAAGGTAGTTAAGCTTCGGAGTTACAAAATCGGAAGTTGGTCCGATTCAATTCAAAATAAAAGAAGAGAAAAGGCCACAAACAAAGTTCAATGAAAGACAATACAGGAATTTAGTAAACCTTCTCATTTCCAAGAAAAGAAAATAAAAAATCAGATCATGTACCCAATTCTCAAGACAGTCATCGGCTTACCTGATGGAAATGGCTTTCTTCATGTTAACGAGTTCCAGATCAATACCGGACCAGTTTCTAAAGTGCTTAACTGCTCTAGTTGCATTTGCCAGTTCCTTCGGAAGTTTTCTAATGACCTTTACATCATTAGCCAAGGAACTAATAAAATGATCTTGATCGAATACATCAAAAAAATTGCTGCAGTTTGAACATGTAATATTAACAATAGCATCGAGCATGCAGATTTTAGACACAAATGCAAAATATAAATCTGAAAAATGGTACCTAGTGTCCTGCCAAAATGACCGTTTATCAAGTTCTGGAATTACAAGAGTAGCATTTATAATTCGGGCAACAGCAACCATGTCACATATCTGCAAGTCAAGAAAAATACAGTTCTTCAGCTTCATTTAATAGATGTATCAATATTCAACAATATTATGATAGTGATGAAATGTATACTGATGACTTGGCAGCTTTACTTATGCATCGCTCTTGTGTCACATAATGTAATTATGGAAAACAACAGCAGTGCAATTAGTTATTTATCAATTGACAAGATATATAATGAACAACTGATAGAAAGAGGTATAGTGCCAAAATAACAAGTAAAATTAATATATTGCATGCATATCTGCCAAATAGAAAACTCATTCAGCACACATCAAAATAGCCAACTTAATTAGATGTCATGATTACCATAAATACGCTCTGGCAAATTTGGTATGGAATAGTCCAAAACCATGTGAGTCTAATTTGATTGACTACTAGGCAATAGTGGGATTAGAGTGGTCACTCACAAAAAGTTATGCATGTTTGGTTTAAGTAAAAATTTCCACCCCTAAAGCTCCAGAGTTTGTTAAATAGCATACTGAACATTCATGGAAGCTCTATGAATGTGCAAAATGAAGTCATTGACGCAATTTGATATCTTATTGTTCACATGAAAGAAGGATGCTCAATTCCAATGATTATAGAACACTTTGAGGGACTATTTCCCACTCAACTATGGGAAAAGGAAGCAAATCTAGATTACACCTAATTCACAAACCAACTATCACAGAACCGTTACAATATTATTTTATTGGAGTTTAGTACAGAGCACCCTCAATTACTTACTTCCAATCTTTTCCACAAGGAAGTCATGCATAAAGGTATATTTTTGTATCTTGAATACAATTAAATAATTTAAGCAGTAACTCATGAATTTTTTTTTATTCCTCCATTTCATAGTTGAGAAGGAAATTGTTCCATTATGTAATTATTTTGTCACCAAATTTTAAAAAAAATTCCATTTAAAAAGAAAAACCAGTAATAACGCTTTTGAATATGAACTACATTAAAGCTTTTTCACCATGATCATAATCTGAAGACTGGTAGGTATTGGCAAAGCATAATGGCTTTCAAACCTTAAAATCTCATAACAGGTTATGGCTGGAGTGGCTATTATGTTGTTTCAAGTTTACCAATTATCACCCAACTTATCAACAATCCAATCCAGCACAGAATAAAATTAAAAATAAAAAATAAAAAAAAAAATCCCTAATTGTAGAAGCAATGATCCGGATGATAGGGGTCTCAACAAAAGGTAAAATAAGACTGACTTAATAAAGCTTATATATATATATATATATAGAGAGAGAGAGGATGTAGACCCCAGCTCGCATCTGATTTAATCCACCATTTGTATGAACAAGAAGGTAACCTTGAGACCCTCCAGAAGCTGATGAAACAACAATGAATGAATGAACAAATGAACAGACAATAACAACTACAGATGAGTTTCATAAGTGCAAACTCAAACCAAAACTACAACTTCCTTACTTGTGTAGTTTGAACTTGGCTCGACACAGGGCACATAATCTCGATTTGGGGGCGGCTTCCATAGCTTGTCGAAATCCAAAATCCCACTTGCAACATCCAACTGTCAAGTCTAAAGGAGTGAAAACATGAAAGATGCATGACTATTTTGTATCAATATGCATACACGTTTATACTATTATAGTATATGATACATAATATGATATAGATGCCTTCAAAACACACATATACCATAACTAAAATAGCATTTTTCTTGATGAAAACCTTTCGGCAGGACTAGAAACTTAAGAATCAAATTGTTTAAATAGGTTAAAATGAACACAAAACTAATGAAATCACACCAAGAGAAGCATAACACCTTGCTAGGAGGTAGAGGAGCTCTTGGCAAATAGGGAGGCACCAATTCTACAATCCAGCTTTGCTCTTCTCCCACCATTCCAATTTCTTGTTGCTGCAAAAAATTGAATTATAACAATCTCATTTTATAATATCCCAAATCCAAAAAAAATATAATAACATAGCATAAGAGGAATTTGTGACGTATTCAAAAGCCACATGTATGTGTGGTATATGTGTGAATATATATAATTACCCTTTATTTCTTAGATTAGAAAAAACAGTAGTATTTCTTTAAATAGTGATATTACAAAAATGGATCAAAAACTGAATCAAATAGACTGTAAAAGCTTGACGGAAGTGTAAGGAAAATAGGGGATGATGAATTAAAATGAAATTAAGGGGGTTGAAGAACTTGAAACCCTAGAATGAGAAAGTGTATGAAAGAGGAGGGGGAAGAGGATTTGAGGGAGGGTGGGGGGAAGAGGGAGAGAAAAGGTCACCATGAGAGGCTTGTAAAAGGTTAGGTAACTTCGTCGCTTGGGAAGAAAAGAATGGTCGTACATGAGCATAGAGCAGATCCAGTAAACCTATTGAACCTATGGCGCACGATAGCAACTTCCTCAGTACTCCCAACGTCCTCCACCTCCGCTTATGCATCTCCTCCCTCTCTCTTTCTCTATGCTGAGAAACTATACCCAAAACATCTATGCTGCTTTGCGTCTGTAATTCGAATCCTCAAACGATCGTTTGTCCCAGCTGCCATTGATGTGGTGGTGGTGGTGGTGGTGGAGCTTCGAAATAGAGAGAGAGAGAGAGAGAGAGAGAGAGAGAGAGAGAGAGCTTCGAAATTGAAATCACCTAGCTGAAGAAGGTTGAATTGTATCTTCCAAATTGAAACTGAAATTGATTCAGCTCTACGAAATCGATTTTGCACTACGAAATCGAAATCAGTCTGAGATTGGATCACCGAACTTCGAAATCGAAATCACTTTAAGGGTTTAGAGAGAGCGAGCGAGCGAGATTCACTTTAAGGTTGAATCGTAATCTCTGAAGGGTTTAGAGAGAGCGAGCGAGATTCATACATTTGTGTTTCTCAGATTTGAAAGAGTAGGAGTGAGAAGAAGGGTTTCTCAGATTTAGAATGAGGGTTTGAAGAGAGAGAGAGCGCGTGAGAGGGGGATAACATTTGAAGGCACTTTTAAACGTCTTCTATCAGTTAAACGGTACCTTTTTATTTAAACCAAAATGTGACGTTTATAAAACGTCGTTAAATATTAAAAAACGTGACGTTTAACAAAACGCCGTTAAAAAAACGCCGTTAAATCTCACATTTCCTGTAGTGTTGTAGACACCCCATTTTTTACCGAACTTAAGACTTAGACGTCACTAGTTGAGTGCTCGGTGATGTTGCATATTGTGCTCATTCTGAGGTTTCAGAGTCTCGGCTACGAGCCTTGCCTCCGGACTTCGGGGCTCTTTTGTGCTTTGCCTCGGTTTGCGAACTAGGTCCTATTTTCTCTATTTTCTCTTCCCGAAGGGAGGGAGAGGTCTCGTAGATCATCTCTCAGTGGCCGTAGGCTACGTTTCGTGGTCGTAGGCCATTTTTCCCATTTGGAGCCCGGTTTCCGGTTTTCGGAGCTGTCGGTCGTGTGCCTCAGTTCGGGACCGCTTAACTACCTCTGTTTGCTCCGGTTTTTGGCGCACACCTTGCTTCCTCCCTTTTGAGGGACACTGTGGCCCGGGAGACCACCTTCGTGGTCATACGCCACTTTCGGTGCCTAACAGCCTGTTTTCAGAGCCCCGGACTGCGCGTTTTGGCTCCCGAACCTTCGTTTTGCATCCGTCTTGGTCCATTTTTGGTGGGGACCCTATTTTCACTATTAGGGAAGGGGTAGTGTGGTGGCCGGTCACCTTTTCCCCTGAAAAATCAGTTTTCTCATTTTCTCTCTCCAAAAGCCGATTTTTCTGACCGAAAGTTGGTTTTTCCCACTTTTGAGCCACATTTTCTGGCTTTTCATACCACTATTGTGTTGTGCTCATCTGGGAGGCCACCAATATGGGTAGACCGACCAGAAATTCATCTTGACCCTTTTGAACCTTGCTTAAAAGCTATCTTTTCTCTCTCTTGATTCACATTTTCTGGTTTTTCACTACACAGCTGTGTTGCACTCATCTGGGAGGCCACCTTTTTGGGGTGGCCGGCCAGAAATTGTTGTTCACCTTTTTGACCCCTGGTCGGCCGACCATGGGGAGTGGCCGGCCGGCCACTTGAACTGGCCGCCTTGTTCTTGCTTTTGCTCTCTCTGAGTGTAATCCAGCTGTGCCAATTGAAGGTCATTTGGTGCATCCTCCATATACTTGGGGTCTCTTGGAGATATTTTGAAGCCTCTCCTCTATAAAGGAGAGGCTTGGCTTCATATCTAGGGGTTGAGCAATTTTTGTGAAGGCATATATCCTCCATCCTCCATAGTCATTATTCCAAGCTCCAAAACCCTAGTTTTCTTGGCCTTTTTGCACTACAACCCCTAGCACCACACCTCCATCATCCATTCCAGCACTTTGGAACTGATTTGCAAGGGTTGAAGGTTCACCAACTTGGTCCAAAAGCTCCATCTTTGTTGTTCTTCAAGGGTAAGTGCCTATTTCCCTTAAACTTGCATTTTTTTACTCCATTTATTTGCCTTACTTGCAAGTATTTCTGGACTTTGTCATAAACTAGAAAGTGTCATATTTTGAGCTCCTCTTGAATATTTATTAAGGACACTTCTCTGTTTGAGGCCTTCTACACCCTTGCATGCTTTATCCCTCTTTGTAGGCTTATTTTGCAACATATCTTGGCCTTACTTGTGAACATTTTCAAGATTTTTCATAAACTAGAAAAAGTTTCCTTTTAAGTTTATAAACATTTTTGGTTAAGATACTTTTTCTGTTTGGGGTCATCTACCCCCTTTCATGTCTTATTTCCTCATGTTTTGAGCTATGCATTAGAGCACTTGCATTGGCCATGGTTTGGCCTCTTAGCCACTGAAATTCAATGGATTTTCAGTGGCTTAGATGTATTTTTGAGGGCCAAAATTAGAGGGGGGTGACCCCCTCTCTCCTTGTCTTGTTTGGTGGTCTTTTGGGCCTTCCAAAGGGACCCTATTTTGCATGGATTGAAGTCTTGTTTCAGGCCTCATTCTGTGAGTTTTAAGGTCTGCCTTGGCGTTGTCCAAGGCCCTTTTGGCCATATTTTATGTCTACAATGCATGTGTAGAGCAATCTCATCCAAGGCCTTTCAAAGGAGCCTTTCTTTGCATGTTTCCTAGACCCATTTCAGAGCCAATTTGGTGAGTTTTAGGGCTGTCATATTTGATTTCCAGAGTTGGTTTTTCCATGCTAAGTGTCTATCTTGTATGTGCTTAACAACCCCTTGCAAGGCCCTCCAAAGAAGCCCCTCATTTTTGCATGCATTGGCTGCATTTCAGTGATTATTTGGGCATATTTTGGCATGTTTTATTCACTGTTTTTGGCTGATTTGATGAGTTCTCATTTTCTTCATATACATGCCATGTAAACCATGCTTGCTAGCCGATGTTGCATGCTATTTTAGTCCATCATGTTAGCATCTTTTGGCCATGCTCTAAACTAGAAATGTGCATGTTTTGGGACTGCCTTGGCTCTGTCTTTTGACTTCATGATCAAATAATGCTTGCTTTGTATACTTGTGGTTCAATACATGTGCTTAGTTTTGAGTTTCGAGGCCTATTCCATGCTTCGGGTGCCATATTTCCATATTTTGGAACCATTTAGCATCATGTTTTAGTGCTGGAAATTACATGTTCATAGGCCATCTTTCATCCCTTGCCATGCTTTGGTAGAGTGGCATTTGACGCCTTAGGTTCAGTCCTCGGTATGCGTGCATGTGTGCACACATTTCGGTCGTCTCATTTTCATCTAATGGCTACTGATGTGAGTGTGGCTGAGGTCCACTCATGTTGGTGTAAGTCCATTATGCATTGTGTATGCCTTTTCAATTCATAACATTGCGTATGCTAGGTTGCATCATAGAGCATTGTGTATGCCATGTTACATCATGCGCATTGTGTATGCCATTTCAGTACAAAGCATTGCGTATGCTAGGTTGCATGTTAGTCGCATTGTGCATGCCATTCCATTTGCATGGTGCTTGGAATAGGGTTTAGTCCAAGCACGGGAAACGAGGGGCGTTTCGTACTCCAAGTGATGAAACGTGCCTTGATTCCCAGTCCCCGACGTTCTTAATTATCTATGATAGAATTGTTGGCTTTATATGTTCATACCTGCATTCATGTCATATTAAAACGTGCAATTCGGTCTCTCGGCCGTCATGCATCGAGATGCGTGATTAGTGGCTCAAGAATCAAGAGCCACACTCCCTAGAGCTTGTGCAAGGACGGGGAAGAGTGGTCACGCACACATATGTTGAAAATACATTGCTTTCTCTCTTTCTTGCCTTTGTTGTAGAAAAACCTGAGTCTAGGGGCAGAAAGTGGTCGGCCGACCAGGTTTTCTAGTAGGCCGACCACCTTTTTTGGTTTTCACCATGAGGGGTGGTCGGCAGGTGTTTGCCAAGCCAAGAGCTGGTCGGCAGCCTTCCCCAGGTGGAGTTTCAGCCTCCTAGAGCTTTGTGTAAGTTTCTGAAATCAGCTGCAAACAATGGCGGGACAAGGCATCGCGATGGAATTTACTGACAAAGCGCATCGAGCATGCATGCATTCGTTGTCATCCAAAACAGAGCCGGGACAGTCCATTTGCATGCCAGTTTATAGCTTACTTAGCTAATTTGTTAGTTAGTTAGTTAGTGGAGGTGTAGTAATTAGCTGTAATTCGTCATTCATTTCGAACTGTATTATTTATTCGGACCCTCCGAGCGAGGGCACAATTGTAATAAGTGTGCGTGTGTGTGATGTATGTCTTCCAACCCCACGTCTTTCTCCCTTTTATTTACTAGCTTATGATGGTTAGATTAAGGCATGTTTCAATTAGCATACTTATGATAGCATGTTTGCATTCATTCATCTGTCTTGCATGCACCGGGCTCGGCGCATCATACTAACTGCATTTATATTTCAATTCCGAGTTGAATACATGTTAGCTGTAGCATCATCATATGCCATGTTTAGAATAGCCGAGCCTATTGTAGTTGAATTTTGCATGTGTTGCATTAGGCATTTCTGTATAGTTAGGATCATGTATGGATTTCTAACATAACTTTTGTTTTAGCTTGAAGTACTCGGTAAGCGCTTATACTTTAGCATCCTTGCATGCGTGTGAGTAACTGCCATGATA